GCGATCCGCTCTCCTTATAATCTCTTTAAGAGCGAATCGGGCGGCCAATAGCAATCGCCCCTTTTGGCGCCATGGATCGCAAGCCCGGCATTGCCACTCTTCAATAAATTGGGCTCCGCTGTGGGCCCAGCTTCACCCCCGAAACTCTGACCCTATGACAAAAGATATCGGCCTGGCCGATAATAAAGATCGCACCCAACTAGGCAAACTATCGATGCTGCCGATAACGTCAAATGCAACATCACCACGCAGATTATTGTAAACGCGAACCCGACCGTTGCAATAGAAACTGCGTGCGCATTTCCTATACTGGTTCGCCCAGCCGGCTAATTAGAATGTCCAACGTAGGCCACATCCACGATTCTGATCTACACCCGTATGTCCTTCGCATGGAACACTTCTAGGGGCTTCCCTTTCAAGTCTTCCAGCAGGTACGAGTTGTTGCCTACTCGACGCACTACTCTGGCCTTAAGCAACTTTCTTGCAAATTTGGCGTTAAAAGCTTTCACAAAATCGCTCAACACAAAATTGCGTCGGTAGACTTCTTGGCCGGGTGCCGCCTGGAACACCCGGGCTCGAGTGTTGTACTGCTGATGACTTCTTTCGTAAGCCTGGTAGTTGGCTTTGGACTCGCTGTCTGATCAGGTGTATTTTGTCTGCTGGGTGCAAATGAGAAATCTCATGATCACCCAGAGACCCTAACCTACGAGCCAATTTGTAGCATGCCCCATTTAGCAACATATGATGTCCGAAAACGCCAAAAAAATGAGTCACCCCCGTTGCTGTGTGTATGTGTGTATACCTCTATTTCCGGAAGGTAGAGGTCCCACTCGCGGAGATCTTGCTTTAGATACGCCCGGATCGCCGACAACACGGTACGATTAACTCGCTCGCTTGCATTGCTCTGTGGCGCGTAGACTGCAGTGCGCATGTGCGAGATGTTGAAAGCTGAGATCATGTTTTGGAATGTACTTGATATGAACTGTCGACCGTTGTCAAAGTGGATGACCTCGGGTACTGCAAACTTATAGAAAACCTCGCTGACCAAAAAATCCACAACGTTAAGAGCCGTAGCCTCTCGCATTGCTTTCAAGAAAGTGAATTTTGAAAAATGGTCGACTACCACTAAGATCCAAGCGTGCCCTTGCTTCGAACTTGGGTACTTTCCCAGTTTTTGGAATGGTCGCTCGGTCACTACCTCTTTTCCTAGACCCACTTGCATGCGAAAGTTCTGTGCCTTGACTTCCTTGCATGTCACGCACTGTCTTACCTCATCCCTTACCTGACTAGCCATGCCAACCCGGTAAAACTGCCGACGTAAGGTCTCGAGCGTTGTCACGACACCCCCATGACCAGCCGTCTCATCTACATGAGCCTTCGCTATGAAGCCGGCTGTCAACGAGCTTGGCATCCACAACTTCCACGCGGTGCCTTCTAACTCGTCTTCCAAGTGGACGAACCCCATGCGCTTAAAAAGTAAATGCCCCTCAACCTTCAGGTCTGGTAGTTTGTCTTGATTTGACCGTACTTGTTCGAGCAACGCATGATATTCCGCGGATTCGAACTCGGTGGTCTCAAATTCGAGAAGGCCTTTTGAAACCTTTCCCACTGCGCGATAGAGTGCCGGCTACCACGTTCTCACTGCCTTTACGGTGCTCGATGGTAAAGTCATAGCATTGCAGCTGCAATGACCAACGAGCTAGTCTCTTGCTTAGGTCCTTCATTGACATCAGCCATTTTAAGCTGGCGTGGTCAGTGATGCATGTGAAAGGCATCCCTTCTATGTAGGGTCTGAAATTTTTAATGGCCAGTATCGACGCTAAGCACTCCTTTTCAGTGACGGAATAGTTCCGTTGGTGTTTGTTCAATTTGGCTGAAAAGAAGGCTATGGGTCGTTCCTGATCCTCAGGGTCTTTTTGAAACAACACCGCATCGCATCGGCCGTGGTCAGGGCGGTCTTCAACTGTTCAACAGCTCAATACAAACTTTCCGCTATCTTTTTTTAAAATTTCGGTCAGTGGTGCGGCCATAGTCGCGAAATCTCGCATAAAGTGAAGGTACCAACCTGCTGTACCCAAAAATGAGCGAACTTCTTTGCGCGACCGAGGCACGGGGATTCGTTTAATAGGACCCGCTCGGGGTCCATGCGAAGCGTGCCGCCACCAATAATGAATACTAGGTATTTTAATGCCTTAAAGCAAAAGCTTTTATTTGTGCAGTCTGATTGAGAGGTTCGCTTCCATTAAGCGTTTGCCCACTTTTCGCAGATATTTCAAGTGCGTTGAAAAATCTGGGGAAATAACTAATAAATCGGCCAAGTACACAAAGACGTTGGACCGTAGCTCGTTGGGAATCACCTTGTCAATCAGACGAACCAGACGTTGGGCTGCATTGCATAAACCAAATGGCATAACCCGAAACTGGTATAGTTCGACCTGCCAATACGCGAACTTCATATCCACACTGGAGATGTAGTGGGTCTGGTCTATTCTGGATAGGATGCCTTATATACAGTGTAGTGGATACGCGTCCTTCACCGTCAAATTGTTGAGCTTGCGTGCATCGATGCACGATCTTCGCATCCCCGGTCATGCATCCCCGGTCTTCGCACTACTGTTGTAGTGCAAATATTCTTATCCTGGTCCTTATGGTCTATATCCGTCTCCTTTTCAATGACTATTGGCTTTGGTAGGTGCTCCTTAATTGTTTTTCCGCGGTCGGCGTCCCCGAACGCGTCTGTCCTGCCATCATCGCGCTCCCTCTGGGGTTTCCCGGACAATTCTCGCATTGTGTGCATAATGTATCCGGCTTGCCGCACCTATAGCAGAATATCTTTGGACAGGCAGTCTCGAAAGACATGATCGAACTGCCTACAATTCCAGCACACTAGCCGGGAAGGTGTCCTACCTCGCACGAAGGCCTCCTCCAGATCTCTAGGCGGGGTTTCTGCACGAAGTGGTGATACTTCAACCTCGTGAACTGCCGGCCTCGTTCCTTGCGAGTAAGGCGAAGGCTGCCCGTACTCAGTCCGGCTTCTGCGACAATGTGCCTCTCCACTTCTATGCATTCTTGGCGCAGTTCATCCACGGTGAGTACATCCATAGCATAGATGTATTTTGACAGGCTCTCCTTCAGACCACGCTTTAAAATGTTCACCAGTTCGCGGTCTCTCAGCGTCTTCTGCAATCGCGCGGCGAGTTGACGCATGTGGTGGATGTAGTCATCCACCCCTTCGCTGGTCTGTTGCCCTCGCTGCAGTAGCTCCTGCATCACCTCATGCTCCGTTTGATATCCCCGGAACCTGTCTAAGAGGGCGTGCCGTAGTTGCATCCAGTTGTCGACTCTAGAATGCCGCTTCATCATCTCCATGAAGCCTGTTCGCATCTCCTCGCGGATAGAATCGCTGATGCCAGGTGGCAGAGCATGAAGATATGTCTGGTGGGTCTGAGCTATCGTCGCGTTCGCTGCCGATGTGAGTACTGAGTCTTTCGTCGCTTTCGGGAACTCTACGTTCCGTGGAGGTCTATCTTGTTGCGCCAATTCTTTCTAAGTCTACCAGATGACCCTCCTCCGGGATCTGTCCCTCAGGAAATCCCCGGAAATTCATTGGCGTTCGCACCACACCTCCTGCTCCGTCACCGTCAGAAGCCCAGAAAGACACCTGTTCCTCCGCCATACTGATCGCATCAGAAAACCGTACCCCTCTCTACTAAGGCTTACTAACCCTAATACAAAGAAAAAACGTCACCAATAATTCCTATTAAATAAATAAATAAATACACGTCTACCAACAAATCTTACTAATATTGAATAAATAAATAAATAATAAAACATTGACCACAAAAATAACTCACAAAAAAAATTGTATTATATTATTTTTTTCAATTTCCTATACCTTGGGGAAGAGAAGACCAATCCTAACACAGGCTAACTTGTCTACGCGTAATCTGGACAGTGGACAACATTTAAGCGTTCGTCAAATGCTCAGTTCGTCAGTTTGAATGACGAACGGCATTCAAGGAACGCTACCTTGAAGTCTATTTGGCTTCTGTCGTACTTCTGGGAACCTTTGGGACATGCTGTGTGACTGGTGCGGTGCAGGATCGAATCTATATCGTCCTGGGTCACCTGTCTCCGAGGCTCATTTAACTACGGGCAGCACACACCAAACGTAAACACAGAAAGGGACAAAACAAATAGTAAACATTAAACAAACTCTAACAAGACCTACCCTAACATCACATTTTATCACAGGTTATTTTATCATGGCGGCTACCACCAGGCTACGATGAACGGTCGCGAACGTTCGCCAACATACGAACGTGACTTACCGCCATCAACCACGACATGAAAACTCCCCATGTTAATGGACACTATGGCAAGATCCGTCTCCGTCGCTCTTCCGGCCATTCTTGGGGTATGTTGTGTGACAGATGCGGCGCAGGCTCGATTCTACATCGTCCTGGGTTACCTGTCTCCAAAGCTCATATAACTACGGTCAGCATATATCCAACAAAATGAGACAAAAACTAATAATTGAATAAATAAACATCTGACAAAACTACCCTAATACCACAGCGGTGTGGATCCTAAAGCCAAGGGAGACTCTTTCTGTACCTTCCTTGATATTTTATTTATCTTTAATTTGATTTCCACACCGACTTCAAAAAAGCCGAGTGCTTCTTCAATTTGAGCGCCATATTGTTACGGAACTGCTTGTTTCTAGTGGGCCGCGCCGGCTGGCTCAACGGTTCTCTAGGTGTAGTCCCTGGCCCGCAGTGCGCACAATCGATATAACAAAACTACAACGTCTGTAGCAAAACCTTTCTATACACCACTATTCAAAATGAACCACCTAATCGAAAACAACAAAAATCGGAACTTCTAACAAATGAACAACACTAACGGCTGTAACAACAAGCAAATGTTAACAACAAAGCTGAGACGCTCAATATAAATTAACAAAAAAACACTATTTATCCACTTTACTCTTCAAGATCGGGTCCCGGTTCCGGACCCAGCGCACCCGCTCCACCTGAGACGATCAGCTGAGCTCGTCTCCCTCATTTTGGCCACTAGATGGCCCGCATCAGCCCGTTACGGCTGTTATGCCCACTCTCCCCATCAATTGAGACTTAGTCGGACATTTCTCTCTTCAGTAGGTGTGTATAATTGGTTGTGTTTCTTATAATTATTAACAATTTTAACATCTCTTATCTCCTATTTTTACAAGGCATACCCATTCTGCAATTTACGATTCTACGCAAGCTGACATTTGTCTTCAGCTCGTCAACAAGTGCGTATTATTCTTAGCTTTGCCTTATAATGATCACAATTGTGTATTAATTTTTTAAATTTCATTTATCTTACAGGATAAATTTCTATTCAACAACATTAAATGGAACAGGCGACGAAAACACTTCCAAACTTATTGCCAGTCAACAAAAGAAGACAAGGGGAAAGATACAAACACCCGGTAATAATTGCACAAATGGGGAGCAAGTGCCCGCCGAACTAAATACGTGTATATATATGTATGTGCCACAAAGAAATAAGTTATATGTGTGTCAAAAGCGCTTATTATACCTTGCCTGCCTAAAGAGCTCTCTGGGTGGGGGTGGTAAGGGCCATCATAATGGGTATTCTGCACATATGGTGCCTGACATATATATACATACTAGCGGGTATAACCCGGCCTTGTCCGTGGCACGTATGTTATAAAATCAAAAAAGCTTTGAAAATGATTTTGAATCTGATCGGACGGGAATCAAACAACTTTTATGCAAATCGGAAAACTCTTAAAATTCTTAAAATCCTAAAAATGCATTTTCCACCGAAGGAGCTTAGATTTTGCGAGAAATGTGAAACACGTCTCTAATGATCTTTCTTATAGATCTTTGGAAATAAATTTGAATACAAAACGTCATCCACCAAAACTTCGACCCCCATTTGCACCAAGGAGGGATGGATTTTTTAAAATGTGTGAAACACCCCTCAAATGAATTTGAATATAGATCTTTGAAAATGAGTTTGGGGCCGATCGGATGGTAAACAAAAAACTTTCACACAACCGATTTCCGCCAATTTACCACTGTTGCGGGTGGAATTTTCCAAATCGCTGAAATACGTACTTATTAAGTTCTTATGAAGAGCTTTAAAAATAAGTTTGAAGCAAATCGGACACAACTTAAAACGCTGCCCAAAAAATCTTTAAATCGCATTCCCCCCGAAGAATTTTGAATTCTGCGAAAAGTGAGAAACACGTCTCAAATGATTTTTTATATAGATCACTGGAAATGATTTTGAGCGCGAAACGTCACCCACCAAATCTTTGACCTCCATTTCCACCAAGGAGGAATGGGTTTTCCGAAAAGTGCGAAACACCCCTCAAATGAATTTGAACAAAGATCTTTGAAAATAAGTTTGGGGCCGATCGGATGGTAAACAAAAAAGTTACATACAAACGTTTTCGCAATTTTTCCACACTTGCGAGTGGAATTTCCCATCACATAAGGTAACTACAGTAAAAATTTCAGCTTCCTAGAACTTACGGTTTGGGCTGTGCGTTGATCACCAATCAGTCAGTCAGTCAGTCAGTCAGGACAAACAGTTTTATATATAGAGATAAGCGGGTATCGCTCGTGCACAAATTAACAAAATCTAAATATTTTCTTTTTTATTTATTTGGCAGATGTAATACTCGGTTGGGCCTTTTTCCTTCGCTGTTCGCATTTTAGGAAATTTTCTTAAGTGAAACTAGGCGTAAGTACATATATATATATTTATAAAAAAGAACTGAATCTAATGATGGCAAAAAAAATCTTTTCTTCGTCAGGGGTTTCGAACATGAGTCTACGTTTGACTCTGCCTGCAACTCGGGGCGAAGAAGGACGACATAGAACGTACTCACTCGGATGATGTGGGCGTGGTCTCGCCCGTGGCCGCTTCTTAGCCTATCCGCCTGGATAGCGTCGGTGATCAGTACGCCGAGGGCATGGCTGACGTGCGCCGCTGCGTCGAAACCTGGCCTGGGTGTGACTCTGTAGGCCTCTCTGGTCCGCGAGCTGGTCCCTTCGTTGCCGGAACCGTGGGTCATTTCTTTTATTAATTCTTATTTATTATTTGTTTTTTTTTTTATTTGTTCGTCCCGTCTCGCATGTAAGTTTTAAGTTTTATAATTTTTTTATATCGTGACAATGTTTGAATTCATGTTTCATTATGAAACCGCGAAAAAAATATTCATTTGTTAATTTTTCTAACACCGTTGCACCGTTGCTGCCCATCTGCACAGCTGCACTTTACGGTCAACGGGCCAGTTGTAGGCAAAGGGCATTAACAATGGCACCCGATCCGTTCTCCTCCTAATCTCTCTATGAGCGAATCGGTTGCCCAATCATTATCGCTCAATGGCGTTACCCCTCCCATCGCAGTCGATCGCGAGCCGGGCGTTGCCACTCTTTAAGTAATTGGGCGCCGCTGTGTGCCCGGTTCCACCCCCGATTATCCGCTCATACGACAAAAAGCTATCGGCGATAATAAAAAACGATAATAAACCAACCAACGCAACCAACTAGGCAAACTATCGATGCTGCCACTAAAGTCAAATGCAACAAATGCCTCGACGCGTGTTATTGTCGTTGGCGTATGTGCCTCAACAAACAGATTTGGTGCAAATGTACATGTATATGTCGTCCAAGCCAAGGGAAGTAAGTGAATTTAAGAACTTAGCAACAATTGGTTTCGCATATGACCTCACAACTTTAGGCTTTTTGTGTGCGATCGCTGCGTACAGTAAATTGGTAGATTTGTCAATAAATCAATTATTATAAAAGACCCTTTTAATAAATTATTTAAATTTACGTAATAAAGGTAGAAATATATACTAAACATCACAAAAAATAAAATTCTATAAAATGTGAGAGAGAAACCCGCCACAACACAACATAAATTAGAAAAAAAATTCTTCCTCAACTGATCACGAACCCATAACGACCGCCATGCGCTCTCACAGCCGAAAGAGCGAAAAGCTAAAAAAAGAATGTACTCTCAGCTTCGGCTCTATGAGAACCGTGCAAGCAATTATGTCTGTATGTGTATTAATATACATACATACATACATAACAGCATATTTGAATGTGTTGTTATTCACTGCTCTGGCTATCGCTGGCAAAGAAATCCATTTTCTTAGATTTCTAGCGCTGATCATGACCTATCCCAAATTCGTATTCACAAATGAGTGTATGTTGTGAGGTTGGCTCCGTAAGAAATTGGCTGAGACGAGAACTTCTCTCGAGCATACACTGTCCAAAAACAAAAGTAAAATCAATCAATGTTTGCTATTTTCTTAACATAGTTATAGCGAAAAGATGCGGTTTGTGAAACATTATTTTATTCTTAATTTTCTGTAAAATTTACCGTTAGTATCTAGGGTAATTTATCATTTAAATAAAGCATGCATTTCATGGATAAAGCAAAAGTACTTTGAGTCGATCGTAAATTCAAAACTTTTTCGCTCAATGTACTTCGAAAATGAAGCGACGCAAAGCACCAGCGACCAGCTTTGCTCATAGAGTAATAAATATTCAGAGGAGGCTTTTAGATCAAAAGCACTTTTTCAAAAAATGTGTAGCAAGATTGCGAGGTTGCAAACACAAATTGCAAACTGCTGCACCTAGTTGGGTGCGTACTTTATTATCGGCCACGCCGATATCTTTTGTCACAGGGTCAGAGTTTCGGGGGTGAAGCCGGGCCCACAGCGGAGCACAATTTATTGAAGAGTGGCAATGACGGGCTTGCGATCCACGGCGCCAAAAGGGGCGATTGCTATTGGCCGCCCGATTCTCATTTAAAGAGATTATAAGGAGAGCGGATCGCCTGCCCTTGGATATGCCCTTGGCCTTCATTTGGGCCGTTGACCCAAATGTGCAGGAGTGAGTTCGATTTGATCAGCGGTCAACGGCGGGCGTACCAGCTCGAAGCGAGCTTAAAGTTATATTTTTACATGTCGGCCCGATAACAGAAAACAAATTTCTAGAAAAGTTTTCAGCAAATTAATATTAAACAACAAAATTTTTTTTGCGGTTTAATAATAAAAATCGAATTTAAACATTGTGTCAAAATATACAACAATTAGAAAAACTTAAAAACTTACGTGCGACACGAGACGAACAAATAGCAAGTAAGAGGTTCTAGTCGGGAGCTCCCGACTAGGGGATACCCTGAACCCTCTTCTTCCAAGAGGCGATAGGTATAAAATGAAAGATACTCGATATATATATACTATTCTAGAAGCTACATGTCAAGTTTGATGACTCTAGCTCATATTATTTGGTGAAATTGTTGAAAAAACAAGATTTCGATAACGATTTTTATCGATTACTTGGAAATGGGGCAAGTTATCGAATATCGGAAACAAACTCGATATGCGCGGGGACTAGGAGGACCTACAGCTAATTTCAAGTCTCTAGCTCTTATAGGTTATGAGATCCTTGCGTTCATACATACGGATAGACGGACAGATCGCCTCGGGTATTGATGCTGATCAAGAATATATATACTTTCTGCCTGTTACATACATTTGCACAAATACATAATACCCTGTTTACCCATTTTTAATGGGTTCAGGGTTTTAAAATCATAAGACTATTAACAGCTAGGTGTCTACTACTACATTTGTCATCTCTGGAAGATAGGAGAATGATTTCAGCAATGCTTTTTCTAAACAACTTAATTGTAGGAATAATTGACTGCCCTTCCCTTCTAGCTCGCGTTTATTTTAATGTGCCAAGCAGATCTTTGCGATACCATTTGCCGTTTGCTGTGGGGACTCATAGAACTGCTTATGCAAGTAACGAGCCTATGATCAGATCACTAAAGCTTTATAACAGTCTTCCAACTGGAATGCGTTTTGATTTTTCTGCCAGTAGTGCTCATGTTAAACATAAGCTTAAAAAATTCTTCCTTTAAAACTCATTAATTCTACAATTTCTTTAAGTTTCATATTTTCTGTTTAGTTAATTAGTTATTTAAGATAATATTTTGTAAGTTATAATAGCCTGAAAGCTACCAGCATTGGTAAATAAATAAAATACATAAATAAATAAATAAAATATACGGCTCCGGCAACGAAGGGACCAGCCCTCGGACCAGAGAGTTCCACGAAGTCACCCCAACGGCCAGGATTTGGCTCAGCGGCGCACGTCAGCCATATCAGCGGTGCATGTCAGCATTATCAGCGGCGCACGTCAGCCAAGCCTCGGCGCAACCATAAAGACGGCGAGACGAGCCACCAACGACCGGGCTCCAACAGCGAAGAATCGGCCACAGGCGAGACCACGCCCACATCCTCCGAGTGAGTCAGTTCCATTTCGCCCCTCCTCGCCCGAGTAATTGGCAGAGTCAGACGTAGACTCCTGATTGTGCCTCCTGAAAGAGAGCAGATTTTTTGTAGTTGTTAAATTTAGTTTTTTTTTGTTTGTAAATTATATATATATACATAGGTACTTACGCCAAGCTTCACTTTAGAGTGCGAACAGTGAGGGAAAACTCCAAAGGTTATGCACCCTAACTTGAATTACCCCTTTCTATCGCCCCTTACCACCCCCAGAAAGTTCTTTAGGTAGGGTAAGGTAGAAATAAGCGAGTTTATACACATATCACCTACCTGTTGCACGACTGATTATCGTGAAATACCCGGTTATAAGTATTTGCGTGGGTACACTGTTCCTAAATCGGTGCAACGATTGCCTCATAATTGTTTTCTTGTTTTCCTTTTTGCGGCAACTGGCAATAACTTTGCAGTGTTTCGTCGCCTGTTCCATTTAATGTTGTAAATTAAATAAATTGTATTCTGTAAGATAAATGAAATTTTAGAAATTAATACATAATGGTGATAATTATAAGGCAAAGCAAAGCAATAGAACGAACCTGTTGACGAATTGAAGACAATGTCAGCTTGCATAGAATAAATTGCAGAATTATAAGAAACACAACCAATTATACGCACCTACTGAAGAGAGAAATGTCCGGCTAAGTCTCAATTGATGGGGAGAGGAGGCATGACAGCCGACACGGTTTGATGCGGGCCATCTAGTGGCCAAAATGAGGGAGTCGAGATCAGGTGATCGTCTCAGTAGGGGCGGGTACGCTGGGTCCGGAACCGGGACCCGATCTTGAAGAGTAAAGTGGATAAATAGTGTTTTTTTGTTAATTTATATTGAGCGTCTCAGCTTTGTTGTTAACATTTGCTTGTTGTTACAGCCGTTAGTGTTGTTCATTTGTTAGAAGTTCCGATTTTTGTTGTTATCGATTAGGTGGTTCATTTTGAATAGTGGTGTATAGAAAGGTTTTGCTACAGACGTTGTAGTTTTGTTATATCGATTGTGCGCACTGCGGGCCAGGGACTACATCTAGAGAACCGTTGAGCCAGCCGGCGCGGCCCACTGAGAAACAAGCAGTTCCGTAACAATATGGCGCTCAAATTGAAGAAGCACTCGGCTTCTTTGAAGTCGGTGTGGAAATCAAATTAAAGATAAATAAAATATCAAGGAAGGTACAGAAAGAGTCTCCCTTGGCTTTAGGATCCACACCGCTGAAGTCTTATGTGGCACGTGGCTCATAATCGCGCAGCGTGTAGTGGAATCCGAGAAGCACGACGGAAGCAGAGATTACTAGAATATCCCTGAGCATAAGAAGTTTTTCTTGTCGTGGTTGATGGTGGTAAGTCACGTTCGTATGTTGGCGAACGTTCGCGACCGTTCATCGTAGCCTGGTGGTAGCCGCCATGATAAAATAACCTGTGATAAAATGTGATGTTAGAGTAGGTCTTGTTAGAGTTTGTTTAATGTTTACTATTTGTTTTGTCCCTTTCTGTGTTTACGTTTGGTGTGTGCTGCCCGTAGTTAAATGAGCCTCGGTGACAGGTGACCCAGGACGATATAGATTCGATCCTGCACAGCACCAGTCAATCAGCATGTCCCAAAGGTTCCCAGAAGTGCGACAGAAGCCAAATAGACTTCAAGGTAGCGTTCCTTGAATGGCATTTGACGAACGCTTAAATGTTGTCCACTGTCCAGATTACGCGTAGACAAGTTAGCCTGTGTTAGGATTGGTCTTCTC